CCCCCAGTAGCGAAATGAAGCCCCCCGCAAACGGACCACGGCCTCCCCCCGTTCCCCTTCCAGGGTTCTCGCCTGACAGCCAGACCCGGCCGCCCCACCGTCAGTGCGAAACAAGGCCTCCTCCCAAAAACGGACCCCCCCGCGGAAAGCAGACCCCACCCCCTTCCAGAGCGAGGTTCCAGGAACGAGTGTACATCTTTGATCGAAGCTCGTATGAGCAGTTGTCATTTTGTCACCCACCTCTTCAGCGTGACGATGGACGGCCATCTGTCACGGGGCGACTTGAGTCTCCCAGACGCTTTGGACACGGACCAGGATGAGGCAAATTTGATTTTCCATTGATGCGGTTGTACGAGTTTTTCTGCCGCAGCTGAATCACTGGCGTTGGAATTTTACGCTGATTCGTAGAAGCGGTTATGGACACCACTTTTACCTTATGGCTGGCTGTCTTCTTGGAACTGATCTTTTACGAAATAAAACAGTTAAGCTGATGAGGATGACGGTGGAGAGGAGGACGAGGCGGTGGAGGATTTCCAGGAGCAGAGCGACAAGGAAAAGGAAAAGGAGGAAAAGGAGGAGGAGTAGGAGAAGGAGGAATGTGTGGGCGAGGAAATTTATGATGAGGAAAGGGAGGATGAAACACAGGTGGAAAAGGAAAGACGGGACGCGTTCGCATTTTTTTGTTCTTCCTGTTGGAGCCTTTTTGTTTGGAGGCACCAGCAGCAATCATGACATCGCGGAAACCTTTTGCTCTTGTTTGGGGGCCATCCTTGGCTCCCTCGGGCCATCATGCAGCCATGTCGGCCGGCTTAAACGTCCCCAGACATCCCCCCGAGATACCGACATCTTCGAACAACCATTTTTTTTGTTGTTGTTGGTATTTTTTGTTTTACGTGTTTTCGGCTTTGAGTGACGGGGGGGTTCTTGGTTATGTTTTTTCTTCCAGCGCTCCCAAAGTGCCCTATTTGGGCCTTTTGGATCTGTCTTGCGTTCTCTTGTGGTCGTCTTGGGACTCTACTGGGCTTTCTTCGGGATTGTCAAAGCCATCTCAAAACCATCTTTAGATTCCTGTTGGCGCTGTAAAACTATTCGGAAGCAACGCAGCAAGGAGGCACACAGCGTGGATTCTCCGTTTGGATCTCTTGGGTGCCTTCTTTGGAGAGCCCCGAGCCCGTTGCCATTTGGACCCGTCTAGGGGCGACGGTCGTGGGGTCGGCGTGGCAGTTGTTGGAAGCCATCTTGAGCGCTTTTGCACCATTCGGTTTCTTCTCCGATGTGATCTTGAGGTCTCTTGGGCCCTCTTGGAGCCATCTTGGGCCATCCTGCATGTTCCAATCCGACGAGGCCCTCCCCGTCCAGACCAACGATGAATGGAGAGGGACAGGGGTAAGCTCCTCCCGACGGGAAAGGGGATTGGAGAAGGAAGCTCGCTGGTGGGCTGGTGGGCCTACTCAGAACAAGCGTAACAACCTTTAAGTGCAAACGCTGTTGTGGAAAAGTTTGACGGGCACGGTATATTTGTATATATATATATATATATATATATTTATATGCATACATATGTAGTTATACATTTATGTTGTTTCAAGAGCGAGAGATCAATAACGACATGTCCACATCATAGAGGTGTACGTATATGGTTTCTGTGGCCAATATGTACGGATGAGGTTGATGCAGATACTGATCGTGATGATGGTGGTAATGATGTTGATGACGATGATGATGATGCTGATGACGGTTCTGGTGATGGGGCTGATCATGTTCACCGCAATTGCGCTGACGATGCCGATGATGATGGTGCTCATGACGACGACGATGATGATGATGATGATGATGATGATGATGATGATGATGATGATGGTGGTTATGATGATGACGATGATGATTATGATGGTGGTGGCGATCATGGTGATGAGTATGGTGTGATTGATTCTTCTTCTTCTGATGATGATTACCCTGGTGATGATGAGGAGAGGGAGGAGGATGAGGATGAGGATGAGGATGAGGATGAGGATGAGGATGAGGATGATGATGATGATGATGATGATGATGATGATGATGCTGATTCTGATGATGATGCTGATGTTAAAAATGATGGTGATGATGATGCTGTTTCTGATGATGATGATGATGCTGATTACGATGATGATTATGATGATGATGGTGATGGTGGTGGTGTTGGTGATGATGATGATGACGATGATGATGAGGACGACGACGACGACGATGATGATGATGAGGATGATGCTGATGCTGATGCTGATGCTGATGCTGATGCTGATGCTGCTGATGATGATGATGATGATGACGATGATGATGATGATGATGATGGTGGTGGTGGTGGCGGTGATGATGATGATGATGATGATGATGATGATGATGATGATGATGATGATGATGATGATGATGATGATGATGATTTTGATGATGATGATGATTTTGATGATGGTGGTGTTGGTGGTGATGAGGAGGAGGAGGTCGATGATGATGGGTGATGGTGGTGACAGTGCTGGCGGTGGCGACGATGATGGTTGTGATGATGAGTATGCATGGAGCTACGAGGATCTGGAGGAGGAGGAGGATGAATACGAGTAAGGAGGACTGCGAGGAGGAAGGGACCGAAAGGGAGGAAGGGACCCAACAAAGCAGATCAAGAAAGCGGTCTGGGCATCTGACTCCATGATGCGCACGTAACGTGTGGCCCTAACTTCTCGATCCCATCCCCTGGGCGGGTTTCTCCCGTCCTGGTCGACGCTTTCTGGTCCCGCGTCCTGCGTGCCTCCCGGGGCCCCACACGGGCCCCTGGAGGCGAGGAAGTCGGAAAGACTGTCTGCGCCGCTTCTGTCCACACAGGGGGTGTGGGTCCTGGAGTCCAGCTCGGCCAGCTCTCCGAGCTGCTTCCACCCCGGCGGCGCGAGGGCCCCCACCGAGGGCTCCGCACACGCAGAGCACGATGGGCGACCTCTTGGCCTGCCCGTTCGGGCAAGCTGTCGGAACTGCGGCGAGTCGTGGCGACAAGGGCCTCCTAAGAAGCCCAAGAAGGCACAGCAGGCATCCCACGCAGATCTCCTCCTCCTCCTCCTCCTTCTCCTCCTCCTCCTCCTTGTCCTTCTCCTCCTCCTTCTACTCCTCATCCTCCCACTGACGTCGAGCGCTTGTTGTTCGCAGCCGTGGTGTCCCCCGCTTAGGTAGCTCTTCCGCCAGCGCATTGACTCCGCCTGGCCGCCGACGCCGAAACAGCTTTTTCTTCGCAGCGCTGGGCCCCCAAAGGTCGGGAGCCCTTTCCCAGGGGCCAGCTCTCCTCCCGAGTGGTTCCCCACGGCCCTGGGGCCCCGCAGCGGCTCCCGGAGGCCGGACGTGTTCCAAGGTTCGGAGGGGGCGGTCTGTTGGTGGCAGGAGGTGCTGGTTTTTGTGGGAGGTTGTTCTGTTTTGGGGCGCAGAAGCTGCAACGGCTGGACTCCTGCTTTCACGTCACTTCGCTCTCTGATGCCGCTCGAGGCAAGACGTGGGCGGCGCTCCGTGCGCGCGCGGGGCGCGCTTGCTGATTGCGAAAGGGGGGCCTCGTCGTCTTGCACGGCGCTTTGAGCACGCCTTTGCGCCGTTGGTGCGGCGGGTCACCCCGCACGTCGAGGAAGTCCCCGAAACTCCCATGACGTAGCAATTTTGGACGCTTCGTGTTTCCCTGCACTCCCGCGACCGCCCGCCGCCGGCGCTTCCGCCTGCGGCTGTAAAAAAAAAAGTTTCCCTGCACGATTGCACCGCCGGGCAGTGTTGCAGCCCCGCCTCCACTCCGGCGACTTCCTGGTCCCGTTCTGAGTGCCGGTGCTCGGCCTGCTTCTGTTTGGCTACTTGGTACCTCGCGCGGCCCGCCTGGACTTTGACACGCCGCTGTTGCGCCCTCGCTCGCGGCCGTTGACAAAACAAATCCCCACCAGCCCAGCCATAAACGATGCCCAGGGGAGTTGAGGTGATCAGGGACGCGGGGGAGCATGCAGAAGAAAAAAGGCGGGAGAAGCCGTGAGGAGCACAAGGAGGAGTTGGGGGGAGGAGGAGGAGGAGGAGAAGAAGGAGAAGGAGGAGGTGGAAGTGGAGAAGGAGAGGAAGGAAGAGACTAATAAGGTGAAGGACGGGAAGGGGGAGGAGGACTAGGACCTGGATTCGTGGCGTGGCTGGTGGCTTGGTTGGTTGTGTGGCCGATGGTCTGGCTGATGGTGTTGGTGGTGTGGCTCGTGATGCTCTGGTGGTGTGGCTGGTGGGCTGGTGGTCTCACTGGTGGTCTGGCTGGTGGAGGGGACCCTAAACCAACACCAGGTCCGACAAACAAAGTACTGTGCTGAAAAACGTTCCGTCGTGTTCGATTCGGTTCGATCTGCTTCGATTCAACGCCATCTGCCGTGGCAAGCCGAAGCCAGGCGGGGTCATCCGATTTCGATCCGGTACTCTTCGCTGGCGATGTGATCCGTTTCTGATCCGATATGGTTTTGATCTGATCTAGGGCTGTTCGCTGGTGATCCGATCCGACGTCGCGACTCCATTCAGCTCCGCAGGCATCCGATGCCTCGATTTCTTCAAGTCGGGGTCCCCCGAAGTCCCGACCCTTTTCCCGGGGCCAGTTTTTTTCATCTTGAGAGTAGTTTCTCCACGGTCCCAGGGACAGGTAAGGCCCCCCGGCGAACGAACACGGCCGACACCCTCCCGTCGAAGTCCGGACCCTTTCCCACCTGACGGTCCCATGCGTGCAGCGAGGGCCCCTGGAGGCCGCAGACGACGATCAGCGTCGGCGTCGTCGTCGTCGACGTCGTCGTCAGGTCGTCGTTGACGTCGTCGTCGTCGTCGTTATCCTCGTCATCGTCGTCGTCGTCGTCGTCGTCGTTGTTGTCGAGTCGTAGTCGTCGTCGTCGACATCGGTCGTCGACGTCGTCGTCGTCGTTGTCCGCTCGAGGCCGCAGACGACGATCCGAATGCCGCTCGAGCTTTGCAGCGTGCGGCACGCCTGGCCC